ATCAAAATCAGAGTCGTCGCCCTTTTGGTCGTCGCATTATCTTAGGGTTCACTTATGAGGTTTTTCCACACTGCTCTGGTAAAAGAGGTTGAACTTATCTCCAAGAAAATCTGTTTAAATTTGCAGTTTTGAAGAGAACAAGTTAGTATTCGACTTGTTGGTTCATGGATAACATTGTAAGTAGCTTAACATTCTTAAAACTATGCGAGTAATTTTTTCTAAGCTTTATTATCTGTGAGCTACATTTTTGTTTTGGACACGAAAACGGAGAGGTATTGTGTGATATATTTTCATGGCTCAAAAATAATTAATCAAGGACTTGGGTACTCGTAGTAAGGTGGGCGATTAAGTGTTTGGTAAGTAATGAATGATGAAAGAAAAAGCGGTGCAAGCCCATTTTTTGAAAGCAGTTTTTTTGGCGGTTCTTCGAAAGTGGTCGGAGTTAACCTCGCGGGATAAGAAATCGTGCAGCTTACACGACGTTCATCAAGTTTTGACCGCTGTCCTATAAACTTGTATGTTCGACCCTTTATGAATAAGATCGATCTACCGTTTTAGAGAACGTTTTCGATGGTTATCCGCGGCCATACTGCCCCAGAGCTCTTGTATTTTTAAGTCATCGTTTAACTGCGTGGTTGCCTTATATCTCGACGAGGAAACATGTATTTAGTCAGTATCGTTAGCCGGAAAGTCATTTGTCGATCGAAAGATGGCTGTCAATCCATAGAGGAAATTTCTTCGCTGCATTCAGAGACCTTCCCCTTCGCCCGGTAAGAAGTTTGCACCACGCACACTTTCTTTCTGATCCGCTTTGTAACGTTTTTCCAGAATTACAAATCAAGCTTTGGTTTGATTTCTATCGTGGAAATTGTATAGCTGGGCAAAGGTTCACTGGGTTTTCAGCCAAGTTGAATCGATTTCAAAATCTAAGGAAACAGACTATATGCACTATATATCTGTCTTCAAAGACACTAAAAGTTACTCAAACTACAACTCACATTTAAGGTATCAGTAAGTTTTAATGTTTTATTTACGAAATGTTTTTCATTCAGGGCGTCAAGCCTTCGCTGAATATCCAAACTGACTCGATTCGCGCCAAAACTTTTGTCTGACACCTAGTTGTTATTCACCTTCAATCTGGGAACCATAGGGGAAAGAACTTTCTTATCATTTTTGTTTTTAAATGATTTATTTTACCTCTCAATTTTTACTTTTGACTTGACAATGACCTGAAGTAACGGTGTAACGTCGTCGAAAATACTTTACGAACAGTTCAATTAGTTTTATGTATTTTAATAACGTTTAGCGTACAACTTTGCAAAGAAAGGTTCCTCGAGTCTCTTCTTAATTTACATTAACCCATAGTTATCTAAGTCGTAGTTTTCAACAATCAAGCTCAAGTTGTCAGAGAAATTTTTTGATTAAAATTAAAAGAAAAAGAAAGAAGATTAAATTGCAAGAGTCTGGTCCCACTGCATTTGACATGGAGGAACTTGAACAATGCAAACATTGGTCAGGATACCTATTTGTGCATAGTTGTCCCTTCTCACAGTCCATATTTTGATATGGATGTGGTTGTTATCAATGGCAACAAGAAGATCACCAATATGATTCATGTGGAAAA